GGCACAAAAAAAAAAAAAAAAAAAAAAAGAGGTACAAGGGGATTCAAACCTTGAGCAGGAGACAGACGAATCAGTAACCAGAGGCATCATGCCCATTCAAACTCTTTATGTGCCTTCTCTCAAGATGTTTGAGCCAGATGGATCAACTTCCAAAAGAGAATAAAATAAATATTTTTACATTTAATAATTAAATTCCATGATTTTTGTAGGTACAATTAATGCATTAAGTCGTTGCCTTTTGGTGAGTTTTGGTGAAGCCAACTTATGTAATTTAGCCTATGTGATTTATGCAGAACCAATGAGTTTCTGCATGATGGTTGGTGGAAGGAATCCATCCAAAATTTTACAAAATTGTAATTTGTCAACACAACCAAAGAGTTTTAACATTAAATGAGATATATACGGTGGACGAGAAGTGCAAAACAAATCACAATTCTGAAAACAAAATAACAAATTAAAAAACGCAAATGCAAGTCTAAAAAACAAAATAACAATTCAGAAAGCACAACAACAATTCAGAAAACATTATAACAAGTCAGAAAACACAATGACAAATTCGAAAACAAAATAACAAGTCAGAAAACACAACGACAAATCCGAAAACAAATTAACAAGTCAGAAAACACAACGACAAATCAGACAAACCAGAAGAGGTAGGTATAGTTTGAGACAGCGCCATTGGTTTGGGATTACTCACCGCTGACTGGACGAGACATCTGTCAATCAACGTATACAGGAAGAACCAGCCGAAGAACAGCAGAGGAGCAGGCTGCTAGTGGAGACGAGGGCAGTCTGGCTTGGGTAGACACAACGAACGGCGTCATGGCGAAGGAAAGACGCCGGGGCGGGTTTGGCGACGACTGTGGTGTGAATGAAGAGAATGACGGAAGTAGCATAGAAGCAACCCGCCATAAAACCAAAAGAAGAAGAAGAAGAAGAAGAAGAACAGCAGAGTCATGGTAGAGATGGTATTAAAGTAGCTCCCGGGTTCGATCCCGCGTCGATCGCGTCAAAAAGCCAATGACACACGCTTATCCATCTGCGCCACTGGGGCTGATGTTTTACAGCCACTTTTAACTAAATGTAAATAGACACATATTTTATTCCATAGTAAGGGCAATTCATACAATACATTTAAACTGAGCTACTTTAATACCATCTCCGAACTTTCTACCACGACTCTGCTGTTCTTCGGCTGGTTCTTCCTGTATACGTTGATTGACAGAGTGCAATCATGAGATTTCTTAAGAATTGTGGAATAATGAACAGAATTTAAGATTTAGGTGAGAAATGGTACATTCTCTTCACACTCCATCACAGTAGGTGGCGGTATGCACCTATGAAGTTGGTTCGCAACCCGCCATAAAACCAAAAGAAGAAGAAGAAGAAGAAGAAGAACAGCAGAGTCATGGTAGAGATGGTATTAAAGTAGCTCCCGGGTTCGATCCCGCGTCGATCGCGTCAAAAAGCCAATGACACACGCTTATCCATCTGCGCCACTGGGGCTGATGTTTTACAGCCACTTTTAACTAAATGTAAATAGACACATATTTTATTCCATAGTAAGGGCAATTCATACAATACATTTAAACTGAGCTACTTTAATACCATCTCCGAACTTTCTACCACGACTCTGCTGTTCTAGAGTAATCCCAAACCAATGGCGCTGTCTCAAACTATACCTACCTCTTCTGGTTTGTCTGATTTGTCGTTGTGTTTTCTGACTTGTTAATTTGTTTTCGGATTTATCATTGTGTTTTCTGACTTGTTATAATGTTTTCTGAATTGTTGTTGTGTTTTCTGAATTGTTATTTTGTTTTTTAGACTTGGATTTGCGTTTGTAATTTATTATTTTGTTTTCAGAATTTTGATTTGTTTTGCACTTCTCGGCCACCGTAGATGTATATTATTTATCTATTTACATGTGAGCCATTTGTAAAAAAGACTTTTATTATTTATAAGCTACAGAAAACTGAATTGACGCAGGGATACCTTACATGATGAACTATAGCAACAGTAAAGGCTCTTGCTTTGGTTCATAGTAGTAGCCTATACAATTGCGTTTGAAGACAAGTAAAAACTTAAGTTAAAAGTAATAATTATTATTTTATGTTGGGTTGTGTTTTTCCCACAAAGCCCAAAAACTACATCAAAAAGTACATTCTGCTTTTTTTCATGCATGAAAATGCAGGGCCATCACCAGCAGCCAAGTTCAGTTGTAATTTAGTTTGGTTCATTATTAAAAAATTATGTTACATGTATACTATAAAATTAAACCAGTTAACAGTTAACTGAAATAAACCAGGCTTGATGATGACGTATGCAGCCCGCAAACGCGACCTCCGGAGGATTCGAGATCGAGGTCTCTGCAGAGCAAAAGTGGATTCAGCTTTCCGTTTGAGAAACGGCCATCCTCACCATCATCTCAACCACGTCTCTCTATTTAAAAGATAATCGATCTCCAGGTAACGACGGACTTCTCAGTGAATTTTACAAAGTCTTCAGGGATAAATTAGCACCGTTTTTGCTTGCAGTATTTAAAGAATCTATAGATAAAGGAGAGTTGCCAGACTCATTAAAACAAGGGGTTATTACTCTAATTCCAAAAGCACAAAAAGATATTCCTCACTTAGACAATTGTAGGCCTATTAGTCTTTTAAATAATGACGACAAAGTTTTTGCACATATATTTGCTAAAAGACTAAAACATGGATTAGATGACATTATTGATGAAGAACAGACTGGATTTATTCTGTAATCTTGTGTACTGATGGCATTTATATGCAAAGTTGTATTTCTATTATTGTTATATAGGTTCATATGCAAAAAACAAACAAACAAAAAAAACACGTCTCTCATTGTTCCATGCTTGGAACGTGCTCCAAACGTGAGCGTCCGCGTACCCCGTGACCTTGTCTCGACCAATCAGAAGCGCCATTGCGCTCACTAGGATATCCACATTGAGAGCTTTGCTCTGAAACAAGAGCAGAGACTCTCTGCCAGAGAGCCAAACGGAGCAGGCGCGGCGCTCGAGCGTCTCATGAAGTCAGTTTGACCGTCTGTGCGCCAGACCGATTTGGGGAACAAATCCTAGCTGAGAATCTCGCTATATCGTGGGAAGAGATGATCCTGTCCTCGGGACTGACATAACGGTTAAAGGTAATGCGTTTAAACCGAGTATTTTTGTTCCTGTAGGCTTTTTTATTACCTTGTTAGTGGGGAAACTGAATGTATAACGTTACATTAAGTCTAAGTGCAATGTCTCGCCAGTTTCACTTACTTGGGATTGACCTAATTTCTGATCCAGGATGCTGTGGACCACTGATGCGCGCCACTGTAAAAGGTGTTTTAGTGTAAAACAAACGATTCATGCCCTATTTTTTCTATAATGCATTTGTTTTGCTTACTAATAATATATATGTACCAGTCTTTGTGGCCTCTTGACCGGTGTTGTGCCGAATTCTGCACCCCTGCCAGATTATGCACCCCCTCGTTGAATTCGCTACATGATTGCCTAATCCTAACCCCACCCCTAATCCTAACCCCTCCCCCACACCTACTCCTAAACCTACCAATACTAGGGGGTGCATAATCTGGCAGGGTGCAAATTTCGGCACTACTCTGGTCGCAAAGACCCATTCTCCTTAGTTACTGTTGCCATCTCCGACAAACAATGGCCGTTTCTCAAACGGAAGGCTGCATCCTTCGGAGGTCGCATTTGTAGGCTGCATACATCATAATGAAGATCTTATGTTAGACTATTAACAGTTATAATTTTGACCATTATTCTTAGTTAAGCGTAAATTGTTGTAATATGCAAATGACTCGCGAATATAATGCTCAGTTAACTGAAATAATCCAGGCGGTTCCCACTCTTTCATGAACACCAGATTCAAGGACTTTTTAGAGCACCATTTATTTTATATCAAGCACCTATCAAATTCACACCCCAGCATATGTAGTGTCATGAAAGACCTTACATATGGTGGTGTTGGAGACTAAATGGTTCCTGATGGTTTCACACCTAATTCTTCACATTAATTCTTAATTCTTTTGCAGTTAACATGTGCCTTTTCTTCTTCACCTGTTTTTTTTTCTGACCCGCTGTCCCAGTGAGCATTTTGCTGAGCAATGGTCATGCCTTAACTTTGACATTTCTGTATTGCATTAGTTTTTAATATTTCTTATGGGGATTTAATAATTTTTGACGTAATTATGCACGCACTGTAAGATGTGCTCCCTTTACACAGAGTGAGTGTGATCGCGAAATCGAAAGTGAAATTGAACAGCAAGCACTTATTCAAATGCAATTTCAATACCCCGCATATTGATAGCGGCTCACACACCCAGTTTAAGAGCAGTGTTTTTCTTCTTGTAATTAAGAGCGCTTGTCATCCTAATTTAAAAAAAGTAGGAGCACCTTCTGATCAATAATCAAAAATTCTGATTGTTGTGGCAAAAACAATTATTAACAAATAGCATCACAGTGTAAGAGACAAGAAATCAAATTATATTTAAGGAAAGAAGTTTATTTTCCACCAATCATATGAAATTAGTATTAATAAATTAATTTGTAATTTAGTAGAGGTAGCACAGAAGAACACAAAAGTGGCTTGTAGGTACATTTTCAGACGTTTAATGAGGCTCAGAGGTGGCATGAGTGCAATTAAATTCATACATTCATGTGGAGATTAATGTTTTAAATATAACATTTTGAATACAGAAATATTAAATGATTTAAATAACTGAAATTATACGCTAAAAATGAAACTAAATCCACCAGCAGGTGGCGGTAAGTCACTGATTTTATCACTGAATCATTCATTCAATTGATTCGTTTGAACAGCTGATTCATTCAGGAATGAAATCTTTATGAATGGGTAATCATGAATCACTGACTCACTAGATTCGTTCAAAAACGCACTTTCATTCATGAATGAAACTCGGCCGTGTTTGCTTTTAGAGATGCGCAGCGGCTCAGCTATTACTATATTTGGAACTATTTTCGTTGATGAAATATATACAATAATACAATAAGAATGTTTGCGGGAGCGTGACACACACGTTGCGTGGAGTGGGCGGTAATGGTCAGAAATTCAGCGGGAGTGGGCTTAAGAAAACTGTCCTGCTCAGGAGTCTAGGCTCCGCATCAACACACACGTTTTTTTTTTCGCACTCCCCCATCTCCACCCCCAATCATTAGTGCCGCTTGTTCTTTGACAGAACATACAGGAAAATGTTTTAAACAAAATTTATTTCAAATTTAATTCAAGCACTTTCAAGGACCTATGTTTGTTTTCAAGTACTTAAGTACTTTCAAGAAGCGTGGGAACCCTGGATGACGTATGCAGCCTGCAAAAATGCGACCTCTGGAGTATGCAGCCTTCCGTTTGAGAAACTGCCAATGCCGCTCTCACACTACACATCATGGCTGCGTCCGAAAGCCTAGGCAGCTGACTTGCTGCCTCGCTAGGCAATGACTTTGCAGGCAGCGTTTTTGCACGAAGGCACCTCATGAAATTGATTTCGGACAGGGTTCTGAGGCAGCCTAATGGTTTAATGATCTACAACAAAATAAAACGAGTTTTGATGATAACTAAACAAATATTTAATTATTATAATACTGATTTCTCGCTAGAAATAACATCATAAGTGCAAAAAGTTAGTCCGAAACATACATTTACACACAAACTGACCACCAAACGCAACTTTCAGAAGCCATGTTTATTTATTTTTTTATCCCAACCGTCACGGAATGGAACGCACAGGACTGTGGGATATCAAAGGCAGCGAAGGATACATCCGGGCTGCGTTCCAGTTCACTTTTAGACACGCACTAGCAAATGTCCCTAAGCGCCTTACCCTCGGGGGAAATCCCCGCCGCCATTTTGGAGTGCGTTCCACTTCATCAAGTGGACGAGGGAAGGCAAATCATGTCACTCGGCGGCCCATCATAAATTAGTTGATAAAAACTTCAATAATAGGGTTGATACGGATGCTTTTAAATCTAAATTGTTCCATGATTATAATAAAAACAATGTGCCTGTAAACCATTCTGATATGTTGGGTAAAGCCTTCTCTAAATATGTTAAATGGCCAATTCCGCCTAAAGTCAAAGAAACGCATTTCAAAATTTGTCATAAGATCTATCCAGTTTCCAATTTTCTTCATAAGCTATTTAAATTTGACAAGGCGGGTTGTGCTTTTTGTGATTTTACTGATGAATCTCTAGAACACTTATTTTTTACATGCTCAATTTCATGCCAGTTCTGGAGTGATGTTAGAGACTGGCTGAATCTAAAAATGTCAAACATCCCTGTATTTAACATCAACCATATCCTGTTTTATGTTGATGATTTAGATAATTCAATATCAGACATTGTGAATATTGTTTTCCTACTTGCCAAATACCATATACATTGTTGTAAGTGGACAGACTCTCGCCTCTGCTTTGTTCATTTCATGAACGAATTTAAACTATTCTACTCCTCACTGAGATTACTTAAAAATTGTCGTGCCCCGAAAATATCATCGGACATGTCCAAGTTTCTTGTGTTTTAAATGTTTTTTTTTGTTTTTTTGCCTTACATGTATTGTGGATCCCCTTAAGGTTTGATGCTGATTGTTATTGTATTTGATTTTATTATATGCTGTTACCTCTATGAGTTCTTGTATTCTGTTTAATAAAAAAAAAGAAAAGAAAAAAAAAGAAAAGAAATAAAAAAATGTCACTCGGCGGCCATCTTTGAAACGCCTCTCGGGCATGCAAGTGCAGCTCCTATCACTTTGAATGGGGAAACATCAAATTCTCCAAAACTTTTCACTAAGCTTACGATGAAATTTTATATTTGAAATCACTAATGAAATCTGACAACAGCTGTGTCATAAATGTTGTTTCTTTTGCTCAAATAGCGTTATAAAAAGCTTATTTTTCAGGCTAGAAAGCCAGTGCGCATGCATAGTCCTGAGTGCACGTCTCAGAGCCACTGCAACAGTGTCTTGCAACTGCTCAGAACCGACTCTCGCAAGATAAATAAGCAAATGCAGCTTAAAAAACAAGCCCAAAACAAGCCCAATATTTTTTTTGATGATTTATTATCATCAATATTATTTATTATGAATTATTTGTTACCAATAAATTAACCTGCAACATACTAAACTGAAACCACTCTTTTATCTGAAAAGCAAAAACAGATATGTTATTTTACAAAAATCAGCAAACTGCAACAAAGTGAGAACAAAAAACTCATCTCCAATCACCAGTGAGCAGAATAGGATTGGAGAGATGGAAAAGGAGAAAAACACAAGAGCTTCAAAGGGGAACTGTAACATAGCCACATATTTAGGCCTATAGCCTAGGCCTACTAAAATATAGGCTATTCGAACCAAATGTATAGGCTATATAGTTTTAGTATTAGTATAGGACTACTTGTTCTCTTTCATCATCTCGTGTTCGAGATCCACCTATGGGAAGGGCATCCGTACCTGACCTCTGCAGAAGCATCCAATTGCACCAAGTCTGGCTAGACAGACAGAAGCGCGCAGCCAATGCCAGGTAAGGCCCCACCCCCTTACCTGAGAGCATATAAGGCCTGCACGTGACGCTATTCTCCAGTTGTCATTCGCTTCTCGCGATCTCTGCACTTCACAGCTCGGGTTGGATTTATCACTGCTCACTTTTCGTGTCTTCAGGAGGACATATCGTCAAGATCAGCCTCCGCCAGACGTGACAGTCTTTTATTCAGCCCAGAAAAAGCTGTTTTTGCATCCTGAGCCGCCCACGCTCTGTGATTATTTTCACCTGCTCCCCTTTTCCATGGCTGCCCGCCACGGATTTTACTCAGTTTTTCGCCGGCATGTCGCTCTCTAAACCTACTTCTCTCGGGGGCTGCACATCACGGGCCTGCCCGGCCGCGTGTGGCGCGCTGATCGCCACTAAGGATCCGCCCCCCTTCTGCGTGGTCTGCTTGGGCCTCAAGCACGCTGAAGAGGCTTTGGAGAACCTGGAAAACTGCAGCCATTGCCTCATGTTGCCTAAAAAGCTCCTTCGGCGCCGTCTCAAAGTTGCCACGACCCAGTGAGTCGAGCTCGGCCTTTCAGACTCGGATGGGGGACACGGTGATGACGAAGCGCTACCGGGGGCCTCACGGGGTGCAACA